TTATTTGTTTGGAGATAACTTATTACATGAACACAACAGCTGTGTTTGGAAACCTGAAGCTACAATTCCGTATGTTATGTGAGCCCAGCCACAATGTCTAAGGACTTATCTAAATGCACAATCACTTCTGAACATACTCAGCTCTACCACAGAAGTCTTCAGATGGAGATGAACACAATATACTCTTGGGGATGGGAAGAGGACTAGATGGGAGGAAGCAAGAAATACCTAATTATAATGTATGAATATTTTGATAATCAACATATGGATGATCTCAAAATAAAGGTTCATAATTTAGGTACTGAGAAACAGAAATATTTCTCCTATTACCTACATCAATGTCCCCAAACTACCGCTCTCAAAATGCACTGAAAACATGGCCGTGGACTCTGCTCGCTGAGCACAATAGGAATTGTTCTCCAATACATCTAAAATGTATCCAGATTACGGAAGGCCAGTGTAGATCTTAATACAGGGTTGAAGGTGCTTTTTTTATCTCACTAAAGATACTGAAGGCTTTTGAGTGCCAAAATCTCATTTCAGTATCCAAAATGATGAGGTGAGAAAGAAGTTACGAATGTTATCTCGTTAAGAGTCCTTTCTTCTTTAAAAAAGAAGGGAGTTTGTGATTGTTTTTTTACATACACACAAACTTAGAGAGCAATATAGAAAGGACCATGGGAATCTCCAAAGAAAAAAGGCAAATGAAAAAAAAATCAGGCTGTATTGGGAAGGAATAATCATGTGAGATTTCTCTTTAAATAATCTGTCAAAGCTTATGCAATAGTAAAAAATAAACAGGGGAAAAAGAAAGGAATAATCATTAAGTAGAGTATGGAATAGACCAGAGATACAGCCAATTTGGTGGGTCTGACACAGCTACAAGGGTGATTCTTACTATAGTCAGCTGTACCCATCACCATAAAGTCCATTTTATTTTTATTTTTTCTTCCTAGCATTTTCCTGCAGGTACAGGGTCCATTTTTTTGGATTGACCAAATGTTGATCCACTGGTTGCAACAGGAATTGTCCAACCGGCTTGTCACCCGAGCCTGACGTCGTGGGCACAGAGAGGGGGACTGGCCCAAAGTCACCCAGCCGGCTCTCATGCCTAAGGAGGGACTAGAACTCACAGTCTCCTGCTTTCTAGCCTGGTGCCTTCACCACCAGACCAAACTGGCTCTCAGATAGAGGCCATTTTATTGAAGTGATCAAATGAGTGAGCTACTCTACCTTTGCAAGGCCCAGGTTACACCCAACAGGGCAGTGCAGAGACCAAGGACTGCAAAAGGGACAGCAATGATGCAAAGTGGATGAAGTTGTGTCATTTAGGGTTTTGTTTTGTTTTGGTGGGGGGATATTCAGGGTGGTTGAGAAGGAGGTTCTTTATTTTATAAATTCCAATATTTACACCACTGTTTTTGTGGGCCTTCCACTTAAATAATTGTAAGCCACACCTTCAATTATCAGCACTTATGGCCAGGATTCTTTAAAGAAAAGTTCAGAAGCCATGTACAGTCTACAGCTATGGGCTGCCTACCCTTATAAACACACAGATCAAATTTTTTTCTGAAATTGCACCAATCCCCCATTCACATGCAGCAGTAATCAGCAAAACTGGCAGTAAGCATAAAGTTTCTTCTATTTACGCCTATGCTTGTACAATAAGATCCAGAACATCTGATGTACAAAAGTAATGCTTTAGTCTCATTCATTTCACTCCATTGTACGTATGGGCCTTAATCACTCATCCTTTTCTTCCTAAAGCCACTTTAACAAATTCTAACAAAAAAGGAATTGTTACTAAATACTTAATTCAATCTCAATGCCAGACCATCAAGCAAACAAAACTTGAGTTCTCTGAGGATTCTCAATATACATACATCTCTGGATAAAATTAAGAGATATTACTATTAGTACTATAATGGAAGTTTCCCTTGATTTGATCAAAAACTAAGTTGCAATATGTTATAAAATCATCACAAAATGTGTCCATAATTCAGCTGTTAACAAGAGCAACAAAACAAACCTTTAACACAGGGCTGCCTTTGAAAACCTCTTGAAAACTTTATAGTCTCAAATACTGTTGTTGGATTGTTGACTAGAACTAGCTGAATAGAATGCATGCTGTTAGTTTGTAAGCAACTTCCCTGGATGTCTGTTTCTAAAGTTCAATTAATAAAATGTTATCTTAAATCTTTAAAGCCCTCTATGTCTCAGGGTTCTGGTTTTCCAAAGAACCGTGGAGCCCCACCAGTGCCCTTCTGCATATTGAGATAACTTCCAGAAGTTCCTGCAACCCCCACTCCTACAGTGTTCTCCCAAGAGCATTTTGCCTGGCATCTGTCAGCCTCTCCAGGTAGACCAGACAGGAAACACGAGCAGATGAGCTAATTCTACTTTATTGTAAGGCTACATTAACAGAATCTTGCAATTCTGAAAGTACAAATTCCTGCCATTTTCTTCTCCACCATTATGCAGCTGTGGGCTATGCCCTCTCTTATCTGACCGTTCCCTAAGCGGCATCTCTTCGCCCCATCTCTCAAGGTCTTTCTCACATACCATTACACATCTTACCATGACTTTCTATAACTGGCGGAAGCTCTCCTTATTCACCTGGGCTTTTAAAAACACACCTTAAATCATTTTCAGTTCTGCTGCTATATCATTATTTTTGCAAGTTGAAGCTGAAGTGATTAATACAAAGTCAAGATTCAAAACACCTTCACTTGCCTTTCTGTAAACCTAATTCTGTTTCATGGTGCTTTCAAAACAGACTTATTTCCTTATATAAAACACTCACCTGCATTAACTTCCAGCTTTCTCCCAATTTATACACAACATGTTCTTTATGTTATGCAAATACGATATGGTTACCCAGTGGATACATCAGATAATTATCTAACATTCTCCTGTATTGTTTTCCATTAATATATGGAATAATTAGGCTATTGTATGACAAGTTCATAATGGGAGAAGAGAGGATGAACTACCAGCACAACCTGAATTTGCATTAAATGTATAACTCATAAACAGAAGCTACTGCATAATGTACAGTCTATGCCGCTATCTTGCACAAGGGTCTATGCCAATACATGTAAACTGATGTCCACTTCAGAACTACTGAAGTCACAATACGTATTAATTGCAAGCTTTTTTAAAGGTAGAAGTTCAAATTACTTTTATCTGACTTCCACATCAAACAGCAAGCTGGTATTTCCTTGGCCAGCACAAGAATAAACTTGTATTTTCTGCCAAGAGCTATCTAGCTAAGCATAGTTTCCTCACATCTTTCAAATGTACGCCATCAACATATTTCACGCAAATGTTTCCTTTAAATAGTGTCAAAAGAAACAACAAAGTACATCCCTATCTAGCTGTTCCCTCCTGCGTGAAACCCAAAGAAAGAGAACATACTGTATCCTCCAAAGGATGGGATATTTGGGGGAGGAAGCACCTGTAGATAAGAAACTAAATGTAAAAGTGGGTAAAAATGTGAAAAAAGAAGATAACGCTGGTATTTGCTCTCCATGGAACCAATCATAACTGGACCAGATAATTTATCATTCTTAGGAAAGACAAACCCAACTCCTTAACTACATGTTTCTCAAATTTTGATTTCATAATTGTGTGTGCGTATGTGTGTATCCACATAATGTTTTAATCAGTCTGTTTCCAATTTACTTCTGTATTTTTATTTTATCGTTAGCTATTTTAAGCATCCTTGTCAGATGAAAATCAGGGCATAACCAGCAACATTTTTTAAAAAAACTTGGTGACTAAATACGTCTTTTCTGTTCTTATTCTATTCCTTCTTTCTCATAAGACACCCAGTATTTATTTATTTGTGCTACAGAAAAAAGTTCAGAGATAGTTGTACATAGTTGTGTCCTCCCAATTTACCCATGTGTGCAAAGAAGTAGACTTGGGCACTAATTCAATGATGGCTTTAAAAATAAGAGCAAACAAGATCTCTTTGACCACTCCTAACACTATATATAGGCAACTGTCATTAGAACAGAGCAGTACTTTCCAAATTATTTTGGGATAGTGAGCCAGGAACTAGAAACTGTTATTACACAAAAGCAGGGCTAGAGGCTTTTCAACCTACTCACCTAGTTTTGGGTAGAGTGAGAAAAAATATTCTGTGTGTATCAACATCCTATTCCACTTTAGGATTTCATGCCCCCTTCTAAGTATTCTACACTTCCCAAAATTTCAGACCCTCTCTAATAAAGAAAACTAGAAGAAATTTCAGAAACAGTCTCCTCCCTTGCTTGTTGGAGATTGACCACACATGCTAAGCCCAAATTTTAATATAATCCTAAAAGTTACAATCAGCTTTGAACACTTGTTTCCATAAAAGGGAAAGGAAATTTATTCAGAAGCAAAAAGGTGCTTTTAACTTAATATCTAAAACTGAGATTATGCTGACCAAAACAAGGCAGGATCCCTACACTGATAAACATTGGCTTAAATATATTTTACAAATGTTGGTTTGTTCATGGGCAATGAAACAAAAATTTAGTCTGTATATGACGCTACCATCCCTGCCTCATTTGTTTACTCATGCAAGCAAAAGAGAACATGGCTGATTTTTACACAGACACACGCTGCTCATTCAGATGATGGTTTAATAGGCCAGGCCTCATTATGAGCTAGTGAGATTACAGATAGATCATCATGGAGAAAATCTATCCATGTGGTTGCTAGGAGTCTAAAGCAACTTGATAGCACACAATTGATCAATCAGTCAAGTCTTGTCCAGAAGCATGGCTACAAACTGACATTCTCTTGAGAAGGATTTAGGATAGATGTCTGGCATTTATTGCTAACAAGGAGCTCAGTGGGAAAAACTCAAGAATATCTGCAAGAACTTCACAGAACGAAAGAGCTAACATAAGTACTATAAGAAAAGACCCAGCACAAACAGCCCTGGATTAAAGATGTGCAAGAATTAATTAAAATTATAGTTAGCACAATGCCTTCCATGCAGTTTGGCTGAAATTTGCTTGTTTTCATCTCGTCCTCCCACAATTGATCACATTTACAGAAATATGAACTAAGATACATTCCATGAAGAATTCCCCCTCACCCTAAAAAAAGAATGTACAAATGTACATTCCTTCTGTATGTACATTTGTACACATCTCGAAAGAGTTTACTGACAGAGGACCCAGAACTCCACCAACTAACCAGGTATTTTATGGTTGCCCTTTACAATAGCTTTACAATACATTTTCATTGCCAGTAGTCCAGACTGCACAAAGATTTATAGCAATTCAGAAGAAACTACATTGCCTCATTGATTTTTTGCGAACCTTGAGAGTAAAATAAAAAATTGCAATCAGAACATTATTACTCAGGCACCATTCATACTGGTGTCTCTCAAACATCTCAGAAGTCACTTGGGACCATTTAATTTAAACCCATGGGAAATAGGGAAATACAATGATACACCCATTTCCATTTGTTTAACTGCTTATATAAAAGCACAAGAACAAATTGATAATATCCCTGTATCATTATCCCTGCAGCTTTTCAGCTTATTTGTTAATAATAATTTGTTAAAATAACTAATTAAGCCAAAAAAGTCATTAAAAAATCTAGAAGCAAGGCCAATGGATACATGAGGACCTCCAATTTTTATATCATGGAGAAAAACAGAATATTTTTTATTAAAATATGTAAGATCTACAGCAACCATCCCTGTCCACAGGCATCGGTTAAGGCTTATATATGGCAAATAAAACTAGTTTTTGAGTGAAAGTGATTATTAGCAATTCTCTGTCATGAAAACTTATATAATTTGATGCGCCATTTTTCATTATCTGTAGCAAAGAACTGAAGCAAAATAATGACTAGCATAGGAACTATTTTGCTCCAAAAATTAGCAGCTTCTCAAAAGGAAAATTAAAAAATAAGCCCCTGATTGTGGAAGAAAAACTTCTTCCTCACCATTTTCCTTCAGGAAATCAAGGAACATTGATTAATTTATATATCCATTGATATTCAGATATATCTTTCATTGGTCTTTAAATATTCAGCACTAGGTACTCTATGAGGTAAACTCTTCCTCAGGTTAAGTTCACCTCCGGCTGACTCCATGGTCATGACCATGCAATTTTCTTAGCAACAATATGGAAGTAGTTGGGACTGTCACCTTCTGAAGTTTGTTTTTTTACTCTCCAGTTTAGCCTAGATTTCCTTATGGTCTCCCAATCAAATATTAAACAGGTCTGATCCAGCTTAGCTCTTCAAGTCCTGCTAAGTTTGGCTAGCTGCTGCCACCTGCTGAGGACATGTCCACTGTATGCATTAAGCTCCATTCCTGTCAGTTATGATTTGCGTGATTATGTAAATCCATTATTGAGAAAGCTAGGCACAAATGTTCTGAGTCAAAATGTGCAAAACTCTGAATTCAAAAGCATACTGTTTTTTAATCAGTAATATTTGCTACTCTGTATTAAGGTGGCTTGAAATGTGGTCTTCCACTTACTAGCGTGAGATAAGAACGCATCAACTAGAAGAGAATATATGTAGCTCAGGGCTGAACTGTGAGTCACTGGTGCTCTCTGAGCTTAGGTGTTTGATTGCAGACATTTCACTGTTCCTTGCTTAGAGTATTGTTTTCTGCTTCATTGTTTGTCTCCTTGGTAGTTCCTTGATCAGAGTACTGTTTTCTGCCTGATTGTTTGTCTGGTGTTAATCCCTGCTTATCTGGGTGTTGGCTGCTGG